GTGATGCAGCTGTCAAAACCGTCTCCCTGCACATCCAAGTCATACAATCATATGCTCAGTCCTGCACCACCACACTCAGCCTTCCTCCCAAAGCCATGGGGATGCTGCAGCATCCTTGGATGGGCAGTGCTGACTCAGGCACACGGTCCTGTGCCCAGTCCCTGGCACTGCTTTCCCCCGGATATTTTACAACTGGATATAAAAATCCCTGAGTTCACGGCTGCAATCCCTGCAAGGGGAAGCAGTTAAAAGGCTGATTTTTGCTCTGAACAACAAATGCCTTTTATTGCTTTTTTTTTAAATGTAACTGTCTTGGCCTTAAATGTCTAATTGGTTTCTAACAGTCCCATGGAAGTGGTAGGGCTCTCCACAGGTTAAAGGTGGTGTTTTTCAAGAGGATCAAGTTGTCCACCAGGTCCCCAAAGCCCCACTTGCCCTGGTGTGGCCGCTCCTCCTTCTCTCAGTGAGGGAAGGAGGGCAGCAGCAAGCTGTGTTCTGCTGGCATGGTCCAGCACGTTCTCCCAGCCCTCAGCTTTCTGGGGTTGTCGGGGGGTTATTCCATCACTCAGAGCATTCCCTGACAGTCATGGGAACTGCTGCTCCTTCAGGGGAGAATAAAACCCCCAGTCTGCTCTAACTGAAAGAGGGATTTAGGAGTTTGACTCCAGGCATATATGTTTAAAGATATTGCCCAATTATTTCTTAATTTTTATTAGTTACAATTAGTCATTTATGGCCCCTTTTAATTCAATCTCTCAAGAAAAATATTACTTTAGGGAAAAAAAAAGTCATTTAATGAAAAATTAGCAAAAACTACAGCTGCACCATAAAAGATAAATGCTTGATGGGGGAAGGAATGTTTCAAATCAATGTGGGCATGCGAGTTGTCGGGTGGATGGAAGGCCAGCTGTGATCCTAAGGAAAGGGTGATACTGGAGAGGAGCAATTCAGGCAGGAGAAAGTACAGAGTGTAGCATTGCTGGGTTCATCATCAGGCCTGCTGTTAATTACTGGCTTTATTAATGATTTGGAAGCAGTGGGAAGTGTTATGCTAATTGCACTGGAAAACGACACTATGTTGGGAAGAGCTGAAAGCAGTGGTGAGAGCAGAAGAAAGAGCAGTGAGAGATGTGAGGAGGGCTGAGGGGTGTAATAGAGGGATTTGATTTGATTCAGACTCTGGGGGCTTTTCCACGGTTTTCCCCTGGTAAAAGAGCACTGACACTGTTTGTGGATGTGGAGGGGGCCCATGAGAGGTCAGACAGGAGGGTCTGATTTGAAGCAAACACCATGGGGACCCTTCCCACCAGCCTCAAGGGAGGGATGGAGACTTGCCTGTGGTATCAGGCGAGCGGGGTCCCTGTACAACAAACTGATCAGCTTGGAGGGGCAGCTGACTTTAGAAGCCCCCAGATTATATAGCAGAGCATAATCTAGCGTGTTTAAAAGAAATCTGTAAAAAGTTAATACATTGCTCTGCCTGCTGTGAAGCCCAACTGAAGGAAGGGGGAAAACCAGAGCCCCAAGTCCAGATTAATTTAGAAATTACCTTTAATGATCAACTTGAGAAGCCATAGGACAAAGCCAAGGGAGTGAGGTGCCACGAGCTGTCAGGGAGGAAACCCTCTGCCCACCGGATGCCAGTGTTGCTCAACATTAAATCACATGGAGAAAACTCCTGTGGCAAGAGATTATTTGGTGCTTAAAGACACCCATTGCTCCATCCACCCAAACACCTCCCCTTTCAGCAACGCACTTGCAACTTATTTGGTGGCACAGTTAAATCTTTTTGCAGCTTGTCATCCCAGAGGTAGGCAAAGGTGGCAAAGCCAAGGACAAAGGAGCGTGTAAAATTTTACTTCTCCTAGGCGGGCCCTAAGCGAGCCCAACTGGAGTTTTATTGCGCGGCTCCTCGGGCTGACAGTCTCCATTAACCATCGGTTAATACTGCAGCGTCAGAGCAAGCCCGGAGTCATGGCCCTGTGCTGTTAGAAAGCGTCCTTCATCCCGCAAGAGACCTCAGGGTGAGAATATTTTGCATGAAGAGCCACCGGTGCAAGAGCTGAGCCTCTTGGTTCTGCATTGCAGTCAACGTGTCGTGTGCCGTCCCTCCACGCCACAAATAAATCTACAATTTCTCAGCTGGGTGCCTTTGGAAGCCTCACGCTAATACGCTTATATGGGAAGAGAGACCAGACAAGGTTCAAATAAAGAGCTCATGTAATAAATAAACATGAGGTCAGTATGGGAACAGCAATAATTGCTTTGTATGACAAGATTTGCATAGCAAACATTTGTGATTAATGTACAGCCAGCATTAGGTAAGGAGCCTTCACTATCGTTGCTCCATCTGCACCTTCCAATCTTGAAGGTACAGCAGCTCCAGCCAGAGCAATTAGTCACTGTTTACTGAGAGGCAGATAGAGCAAAATTTCTCTAGTTCAATATTTGAGTGAGTTTTGTCTCGCAGTCTCCCGTTGGATCCATTTCTGCGACAGGCTTCTTTCCTGGGGGTGATGAGGAGGGATGATTAGCATTGTTGCTAATCCCCTTGGCAAGGACACAGGCTGGCTCCTGGCCCCTCCTGCTGGCCTCACCCTTTTCTTTTCAGGGAAAACCCTAAGAAAGATGCTGAAGACCCTGCACATCAGGGCCGTTTCCCGTTGCTTTTTCTTTCACCTGGCTCTGCCTGCTGGTGAATTGCCCCTTTGCCGCTGCTGATGTACACAGAGCTGTCATGGGGCAGTGGGATGCAGCACCAAGAGCAGTAAAACCTCCTCCTTTACAGCCTCCTTTCTGCAGAGCCCAGCTAATTCTTTCCAGCTCAAACTTTCAACTCTTTGGAGAAAGTCGTAATCCGACTTGAAATACTGTCTTGATTTGGAGATTTTTTTTTTTTTTTAAAAAGACAAGCAAGCCTCTGGCTTCATTGGAAAGGAGGCAGTCTGGCTGGAGGGGCTGGGGTTACTCCTCCTCTGAGCTTAATTCCTATGGGAAATTGTTCCATTGGAGCTGGCTGAAGGAAAGACAATCACTGCTGCACTCTTCCACTTAATCTTCGCCAGGGTGCCGGGGAAAGCTGTCAGCATCACTGGGAAGTCACTCCAGGAAGTATTGTGTAGACTAGCTGGAAAGGCAGGAGGAGAGCTCCTTCGTGTTTATGAGATCCACAAGGGCTTGAGCAGGATGAGGAGGCTGCAAAACTCAATGCATACATTTCGGGGACATGAAGTAAAGAACTGAAGGTGTTTTTCTCTTGTGCATTTGCAGCTCTGACTGAGGCTCTGAGAATGCCAGTCAACTTGTCAAGACTATTAAATTGCAGCTACTGTTGCAAACCTGTGATGAGATGCTGAGATTTTCAGTTGCTGTCTTGCCAAAACGTTCCTTGCTGAGATGCTGGTCCCTGGACCAGTTAGGATGTCTGTGGGCATTGCACCCTTGTGCTGGGGTGGGTGGTAACAAGGGGGATGCTGAGCTGGTAGTTGCAGGACACCTGCACTGTAGCTGTCCCCACCTGGGTGCTTTTAGGAATGTGCCAGAAGGCTGGCAGGGGCCATCAAGATTGTGGATGCATCGGTGGAAGATGTCATGGCACTTCTGACCATGGACTTGCAGGTGGGCTGGAAAAAGTGGCTGCTTATCCACTGCTTCAGAGCAAAGTCCTCCCACAACCCCATGGAAGAGTGAGCTCCGAGGTGCCACCACCCTACCCTGTTGCCCTTATAACTTTGCCCTCCTTTTCAGCCCTTCCACCCTAAAGCTTCCCAGTCACTTCTGCTGAGTGTTGGGAAGCCCTAAATTCACCCTGGAGCTTAGAGTGCAGGTGGGGTGCTGAGGTCTTTGTACGTGGTGTGGAGCTGTGAGCACCCAAGTGAGGGCTGTGTGGTGAGGCAGAACCCAGAAGCACCCAAGGGAGGAGGGTGATGTGCCATGTCCTTGTCCGGATCAGGCGGGGGGTGGGGGGTGGGGGGAGGGGAGGCTCCCGCAGAGGAGAGAAGCCTGGGCGGGCTTCACGCTGCTCACGATGCCCTTCTCACTTCAGCTCCGGCTGCCGCTGGGACGGGCTCAGCCCGCACTGGGGCCGCCGCCACTTAAGCGGGACTCTGTCGGGAGGCGTGCCCGTGCCCCCCTGGACAAGGGTCGCTCCCCGTCCTGGCTGTGTCGGGAGGTGTCCCTGTGCCCCTCTGAAACAGGATCGCTCTCCCCGCCCCGGCTGTGCCGCCTCACGGGACGGCAAATTTCACTCGGGGGATCGTTCCCTCGGGGTTTTTCGCAGCCTCCTCTCCGCCCCTCACGTTGTGGGGGTGCACCTGGCTCTCGCTTTTGGCGGAGCGGGGGGCAGAAGGAGCGGGAACGTCTCCCGGGCAGCGGCACACGCGGCTCCGCAGGTGCGGAGCGCCCGTGTGTGTGAGGGGGGGGCGGCGGTGCGGTGCGGGGCGGTCCCGCGCGGTGCTCGGCCCCCGCCCGCCCCTTCGCTCCGTCCCGCCGCTCCTCCTCCCTCACCCCCCC